CCCCCCTCTATCTCTCTCTCTCTTTCTCCGTTTACACTCACGGAGCAGACACAGAGAAATGCTCTTTCTATATATTATTATAAGTGCGTTATAGACCATACTCTGCTCTACTTGTTGCTATTTTATTCAAGACCATTATTTCCATTTCTAGTTGATGGATGGCCTATGGACAGCGAAATGATACTGTCTGGAAGCAAAATCTTAGAGCTCTCGAGGAACCCCGCCCCCTCTCCTTCACACGCACACACACACAAACACACACACACACACACGCATACACACATACGCACACACCCACATACACACGACCACACACATACACAACAACAATTACACACACATAAATACACAACCATAAACACAAACGCACCCGCACGTGCATAAAAACCAACTTACATCACCAAAACCTGCTCATGTTTTCCTCTTTTCCACAAGTAGATTCTGTATTATTAGTATCTCTCCTCTGATCTTACTGAATTGTCCCTTCACTTAAGAACGTGCATTATAAAACCATAGAAAGAAACTAGTGATGAATGTAAAGGAACAAATGAAATGAAGGTTGTGAAAAACATGTATCGTACGCGAAAGAATTAATACGTTCTCTCCCAACCCCTAAGCCCGAATTGAGTCTTTAGGACGAGTAAAGAGTGTGTGGAAAAGAGCAGATACTGGAGAGAGAGAGAGAGAGAGAGAGAGAGAGAGAGAGAGAGAGAGAGAGAGAGAGAGAGAGGGGGGGGGGATAGAGAGAGCAAGAGAGAGCAAGAGAGACACAGAGAGAGAAAGAGAGAGGATTTTGATAGATCTTAATAGATAGATAAATAGATAGATAGATCGATAGATAACCAAACAGAAACATGGGAAGGAAATGGTGACTGGTGTAAAGGAATGATTTGAAATAAAAAGCGTGAAAAACGTTTATTGTGCGCACAAGAATATCAACATTATAATAAACAGACAGATCGACGGGCAGATCGACAGAAACACAAACAATAAACTATTACTTAAAGAATACCAGTATTCGTTCTGCTGAAGTTCTTCAGCCGCTTCCGCCCCCACCCCCCTCAAAATAATACATTAACACATGTACAAATAAAGAAAAAGATAATGAATAATACAGCAATTTAAAAAATACAGCAGAATTAAATGACTAAATACACAACTATTGTTAAAAAACAAGTAAAAGGAAGACGACAAATTGCAAGGAAAAAAAAAAGAAGAAAAGTGGTGAACCCTACCTTCAGATCTCTGTGGACCACGCCTCTGTCGTGCATATAATCCACTGCCTCGAGAACCTGTCGTATCAGGTGACTGGCATCCTTCTCTGTGTAGCTGCCTTTCTCCACAATACGATCGAAGAGCTCGCCACCCGTTACCCTGAGCACAAAGACAGTAGTAATCATAGAGAGATGTCATACAAGGAGCACAGGGGTAGAGTTTCACAGGAAAAGAATAAGAATAACCTGATTCTGGGACGGTGCGAGTTGGAGACTTCAGACATAATGAGACATGAGGGGCTAAGGTAGATATATACACTGGTAAGAAGATAAATAGATATAAAAATAGAGTGAGAAGATAGAAAGATAGATAATAAAATAATAATAATAATACTCGTATATAACATTTATATAGCGCACTTCCAAAAAAGTAGCTCAATGCGCTTTATATTGGATACCCATTAAAAAAACCAACCCCTTTCTTACTACTTCCTTTCTTCTCATGCAATATATATTAATGCACACACACACACACACACACAAACACACACACACATACACACACAAACATACACACACACACACACACACACACAGACTATTTTCATCCAGATATAGGAACAGAACAACTATAATGAAAAATAACGTTAAAGCTTTATGAAGGATAGGCCTGTAGGAACAGAAAATGTTTAAGGTGTCCTTTGAAGCTATCTAGTGTTTTTATTTGTCTTAGTTTCATGGGTAATCTGTTCCACATAAATGGACCAAGATATGAAAAAAGATCTCTCTCCATATGATTTGTATGATTTTACAGGTCTGATATCAATAATACACAGATAGAGAGATAGATAAATAGATAGATAGACAAATAGAGAGAAGGAGATAGATAGACAGAGAAAAAAAGAGAGAGAGAGGGAGAGGGAGAGGGACAGAGAGA